CTGAACAAAATATAAAACGAGAAAATACTATATCAAAATACGTAGGTGTTGTGTATATAAACACATCTATTTTATAATCCTAATCACCACAGCAAGTTCCTAAGAGCCTAATGCACCTTTATGGCAAAAAAGCTATTATCCTCCCAGAAATTTTTTATTTACATTAAGCCTTCCCTTTTTAAGCTGTTTAGTATACAGGCTTTAATTGCTCTGCTGCATTTCGCTCAAGATACCAAAAAGGGAGGGGGAGGAGGGAACCAAAACACAGTCAAAACCACCAAAAACTCTCTAACAAGTGATTAAAATGAAATTACAGGTAGAAATGGCATCACTGTTTCCACTTTGTGAAAATAATGTATCTACATTATTAGTAAAGTAGGCTTATATGCAAAACTTGGGAACTGCATGCTTCCAGCCCTCTCAGATAGCATTTTGAAGGTAGCAAGTACCCACAATTAAGATTTATGTTTTACTTTTGTTGGTTTTAATCACGTGACAAGCAACTCCATCAATACAGAATCTGATAGAACTACATCCTTCTAAGATTTCTGAAAGGTGACTCAGTAGTCAGTGCATGACAAACCAACTAGGATTTTATCCTGCTAGCCCACAAGTATAAAATGGATAAAACCCAACATTATTCATATGGATTCACAAGGGGATGCCCAGTGGTGCAGGGGCGAGGCGTCACTGGTTCACTGATTACTTCATAAAATGTTAGTATTTCCCCCCAGCCCCTAAATTTACATTTCTAAAATAAAAGAGAGTCTCAGTTTCCAATTTAAAATGGAATCAAGGCTGGAATGTGAATCCTCTTGCATATTCAGTCTAGGATACACCTTTCACATTTTTCCTTCAATTTTATCCTCAGATGGTACAGATGCTCCCAAGCAAGTGCTGTAAATAGTATTCGTACTTCTAGTGAAGGTTGGAAATTTGGGGAAGTTCATTACTGTTTGGTAATAAATCACCAGCACACTTGAATCCTGTTCACAAATTGCAATTTTATTTATTTCATTATTTATTTAAATTAATCTACTCCTTCAGGTGTGCTTGCCTGAAGAAAATCTGTTTCTAGCAAAACTATAATCATCTCCTGCTTCTGGATACAACAGGATTCTGAAGAGCAACTGTCCCTTTTGTATAAACTTGAATAACAAGTCAATACAAATGGCTAACCAAAGTAAGAATTAATATTTGGAAACAGGCAGAGCAAACACTGTTGAGCATGCATTTTTCCAGTGTAACTGCAATTTTATTTTTTTTTAAACATTGTTCCAAATCCTTCTGTTATGTACTGGAAATAGCACCAAATTATTACCAGCACTTTGCTATCTGAGGACTTGAAGTTATAATTCAAATTACTATTTTTTTTTTTTTAGGTAACATTCTTTATCAAGTAGGGACGTAGCACTTGTTTATATTGCTGTGGCAAATTACTTCCCACTACTGCTACAGTTAAGTCTCCCTTCAACTTGTTTCATTTCTTAAATGTTTTAAAGTTATTCCTAGAGGAACAACTTGGTAGTTACGTCATTCATAAATGCCCTTACTAAATACATAAATAAATCAGAATTCATAGACCAAATATTCAGAAGTTGGCTGTTTATATTTTAATCCTACTTTATATAAACTAAAAGCCCTTCAGATTTTTTTTTTAAACTGACACCAAACATAGAAGTTAGAGCAAGAAAGCTTTCACACACAAAGATTAGCATATAGAAAGCTGAGTAGCAGCAGCAGAGGAAGAAAAATGGATGTACTGTTCTGGTAACAACAGATATTTCATTTATATTGATCAGTTAGTAGTGACTTATTAATGAAATGTTTTTTATAAAACCTAAAATTTAGAATTGTTATGGTTTAGCCAGAGTGTCAATGATATTGAAGGTTCCATGTATTAGTAAGGTATTTTATTCTACAGTATGACACTGTAAATATATTGCTTAGGAATAGACTGAGTAAGTGTTCTAAATAAAGAGAACTTCCAGACTGACAAAGGAACGGGGAAAAGAGGATACGTTACACCACCATCTTTGACTGAATTAAGATTAAAATCTTCACCATCATAAACATGTCACTTTTGTCCACTTGAGTAAGTGAACTTTATTAATAGTTAGTTTCAGTTTTTAAGCTTGAAGTATATTTTAGATTTTAGCTACAAAATAGACCTGTAGTAAGCACAGTCACATATGTTGGTTTAACCAACTCCAAAATACTGTTTTCTTTTAGAAAAAGTAAATAAAGTTTATTGAGACAAGCTGTGTTTGTTTAGGGTAGCTATTATTTAGGACAGTCTTTAAGTGCTCCCCCTTCTTTCTGGAAGCAACATTTAGAACAACTGTATCTTTCAAATTGTGTATTAGTGTATTTCTTTTTAAGCAGTCTGTAACCCTTAGAGCCCTAAGTTTCCCACCACTATGGAAACAGTTATATAGCTGTCAAAGTAAACAAGTGACAGAAGAACACTGCTACAACCACCCCCCTCAACTATATTCAAACTGCTTCTCTTACTTCTGCTCAAATATCCAAACACACTTACAAATACTGCCTCAAAAAAGTAATGGAAATGGCTATTTACTTGTCATATCTGAAAATACACTCAGAACAATTTAAATCAGGTTTTTCAATTTAGGTTAAAACATTCAGCAACATTTTTGCTGCTTCCCTTATTACAGGTAAAAGCTTACTAGACATTTCAAAATACTATTTACAACACTATCACAGATTTACTGTGAGATTCTGAATTTATCAATTGCACCCAGTTTAGAAACACAACACTGCCCATAAGGGACTGCTCAAGCTATAGCCTTCTAAAATAATCTGATTGATACTCCTTTTCCATTCCACAGCACATCCAGATACGTACCAGAAGAAGTTAGATTGTAATTAGACAAGCTAGCTCTTCCTCCTCCATGCTAAACAAGCACTACATTGAAGGTTTTAAGAACATTACTACTACTGAGAACTATCCAAACCAAAAATAATCATTATTTCTTTTGAAGACTTGCAAACTAGGATAGAATATTTATTCCTCTTCTGTTAAAAGCCACCATATATTTTGCTCACTAACACTGTCACTAGGTTTCTTCCCCTCCTGCTCTCAGAGTACAGTCTATATTACACTTCAGCTGAAAAAACAGCCTATTGATTATGAGGTATAAGTTGCTTCTGAAAACTACCATTCCTATGCACAAAAAATGTTGGTATGTACTTCACATGAAAATACTTCCACCTATTTAACCTTACATATTAATTTTCTGTGGCATACAACTGTGACTAGAATTGGGGAAGGTTTTCTGGGGAAATCATATATATGCTCAGCACAGGGAAATCATGGGTGCACTGACTGTCCATGCCTTTACATCTGCAGGCACAGTCCTAAACTTCTGAAAGAGCCAGTCTAAGTTCAACTGTCATTCAAGTAGGAAGCACTGCAGACCATAAAAACACAGCTGCTATTAGTGGGTTAATTATATGGCTTGCAGAGAATATATTTTTCTGACCTGTAAAGCTAGCATAGATACAACAGCATGGGTGCCAAACTTAGTATCTTAACACCACCTAACAGCATCCCTAAGAACTTTATTCCAGAAATTTTATTACCTCTTCTTATTTTTATTCTACAGAAGAGAAAGGACACAGCTGAAAATCTTTCAGCTGAGTCAGAGAAAAATAGTAAATGTAGAAGTAATAAAAACGAATGCCATTTTCTTTTGTGTCATACACTGGTCTTTATCTGCCTGGGAAAAAAACAGGCATGAAGGAAGCCCAGACTTTTCCTGTGCACTTATATCAGCAACCACGTTTCTAGTAACTCCGAAGAGTATTGCTACACAAAGCTACACATTCCTGATATTACTGGAGAGCTTCAGTGCTTTAAAAAATAGTAAAGCAACAGACAACTGAACAACAGCTTCAGGTTAAAAAAGGGACAAAACATAACATTCAACGTCTAAAGACAACACAACAGATTTTAAAACAGATTCTTGCTTCAACAACCCTAGACAGGAGTGCAGTGTTTACAGATTCTTCTCAAACAGCATCTAGTGGTCATGGTTCCATCGTACAGTAATGACCATTTAATACTACAGAATTTACTGAATTGGGCAGTGGCAAAACACCCCATTTCACTCACTGCACAGAATCCAGTGAGGGGTGGATGTGGGAACATCTCAACCTCCACTACTGATACACTATAAATAAGAACACTATCATTTCTGAATAGCTCAACTGTCTCTCACAGCTAACAACTGTACCTTTCCCCAAAACTTCTACATATGCTCTGAGACGTTTTCAGTAATTTATGCAAGTCACCTGACTCCTTAAGTTAACCAAACCCAACTCCTTTCCCAACCTTAAACATTAGGAACCTGTACAGCACAACCCCACCTGGAGCGGGGAACACTGTCAGAACACGGGTAGCTCAAGTTTTACTGACAGACCAGGCTACATGAATACTTCTTACTCGTTTGTTTGCAGCATACTGTTTTGAATTGGAACAATTAAAACTCAGTATGCTTCTGAATTGTTTCTGGTGGAATTCCAAATCAAGTTGTAACATTCCAGTTGACAACCTTCAGGATTTTAAGTCAGTACATTATGTTATGTTGTTGTTCTCTTCATTTAACAGCTTGGGACAATGCATGCACCTATTCTGCAACTGTATTAGTGCTGTACTTTGGCAGCAAGAGAAATGTTTTCTGGCTTACAGACTGCAAAAAGGAATGGAATGTAGGAGAAAAAGCTTCAGGAGTTTACTCTGAATACAAGGACAGAAGCATTATACATTACTGAGGCTGACTGACAGAATAAATCACTGCTTAGTAGCTGCCTAGCAACAGCCACGAATATTGTGCAATAACTCAATTTTTTAACAACACACTACTTCCTAGAAGTGGTCAAAACCAGTGAGGAGAGGGGTTGGCTGCAGAATCTGTATAAACAGACTGGTCTTGTAGGATAAGCAACCATAGCCTGCCCTCCTGACTACTGCTGCG